ACAGCCAGGATTACATCTTGAGGTATAAGGAAATTGCGACTGGCACGCGACCCTTTCGTGAAAGACTAGCCATTGAGTATGGAGACCAGACGACTACTATTAGACAAAGAAAGTCGGTAGATAGAAATTTCACAGATGCAAGACCAAAAGGTAGGACACCCTGGTTTTGCGCGCTTCTCAAACTTAGCTGCTGCTCACATTGGACTACTATGCTTCAGAGGGAAGAGACTCCGCGATGCAAAGCATCTTTCATTTCTCCAAATTTCTTCCACCTATTTGGCTTGGTGCTTACTGTGATCCAAAAATCAGCTGATTCGCGTTAGTTGTTTAGTTTGTGCACCGCTCGGTGGGAATTACGATCGAAATGGCAAAATTCACATCGTGCATACTCTGCAAAACCTCAGCCTAATGAGTAACTACGATTGGGATTTGTTGGAGCAATTGACGTATATCGAATTCATTCCCATTGAGACGTTGGTGGTCATGTCACACGTCTCATTTAGATCACGAAAGTCCTCTCGTTCTCGTCTCACCGTAATTTTTTGGTGTTTTTAACTATTTTATAAAATACACTGACGATAATAAGAAGCTTCCTTTTTATATGGTACTGTAAGTGCACAGTTGATAACCATTGTTTATGAAAAGAGACCAACACAAGAAATGAGATAGGCGCGAAAGATTTTCATTATCACAGAAAAGCAGTAGTTTGCAGTTTACAGAGGATCAGTTTGCTGAACGGCCGAAATATGGATGAGCTTAATGCAGGTACACGTTTTTTTTTCATAGAAACTTTCTATAACAAAGTACGGGTAACAATATCTCACACTACTAGCAGATCACTGACTCGAGAAAGTATCTTGTTAAAATGTGACCTGGTTTGATATTTTTGATTTCTCCAAACTTCCATTATATAGCCTTTGAAGCGCACCTCTTAACATCTTCAGCATCTTCCAACTTACCACGTGTTCTTCGTTCCACTATTCACCGGCTTTGTGATCTACGAACTTACATCTTCGTCTGAGCAATGCTTAGTGATCGATTCATATAGAATATTCCTGGTTCTGGTTCGCTGGATAGGTCTCCGTTAACCTAGAAATTTTTCTTAATCATCTCCTGAAGGCAGACTGTGGGACTAGACTCACTGGTAATAAACACATCGCGAGCGCCAGATAAGTGCTACTATGGCGCAGAAGGTAGAACGTCCCAGCCCAACTCCTCGATTTCTTGTTGCGTGATTTTCGACATGTGGTCTTGCGTTATCGTGCCATAGTTTTTCATGGCCGAATTTCCCCTTGACGACGCAGAGCTCGGTCCACGCGGCGGCTGTTGTGCGCAGGGTTCAGCTGTAACTGTCTGACCACAATCAGCTCTCCATAGTAGGCCAGTCCTATACTGTTTCACCATGACAAGCAAGGACTTTTTTTCCGTGGATGTCCAGTTTCGGAGTCATCCTCAGCGTCCATGGCTTCCAACCGCGGCCATCTTCTG